CAGGGGCAACACCGAGGGTTGCGATCCCGTTGCCGGTCCCGGTCCGGTATGGGGGCAACACTGAGGGTTGCGATCCGTTGCCAGACACGGAAAAAAGACAAAAAAAAAAAGAATATTCAAAATCTTCTAATCTGAAATGAAAAAAGGAGGAATTATTAATTGTAAATGTTATCATTAAACAGTTATGTCCTGAAAATGCTCACAATACTGCATTAAACGTGGCCAAAGGTGGTCGCAGAGTGGTGGGGAGAAGTGTCAAAGGTTTGGTTTATAATCATTTTTTTCCATCTCGTGCACTCACTGATTGGAGGAACTGAGCTAGACAAGTAGTCAGGCAGTAGAGGGCTTTGGAGAAGAGGCGACTGGAAGCACCTTGTGGCAATCGGAGTTTGGCTTAAATAAGAAGGTAGGAGGCACAGGACAGAGCACTACTCCTTGATTAGAAAGCAGGAACATAATAGAAATTCAGTATAATTCCTGCAAGGGGCCTTCAACAAATAAGGAAAAAGAGAGGGGCTCAGGAAACAGAGCACTGTGCCCAAGGCAGAGCCTCCTGAACCTCTCTGGTACTGCCATGTTCTGCACTCATTTCCTAGGCTTGGGAGGGGTGGGAGGAGAAACCAGTTACGCTCTCCGCCCACTGCAAGGAACAGTGGGTAGAACAGGGCTCCCAAGTCCTATCTGGCTTTAAGTCCCGTTTCCGCCACTCAAAGCTCATTGGCTCTCTCTAAGCCTCAGTGTCTACATCTGTAAGATACAGAAAATAATGGTGCCTGCGGGTCGCTGTAGAGCCATCCCTAAGACAGTGGCTAGTACGGGACTCCCAAGGAATGTGGGTTTTTACTGCTGAGGACACCAACGAAATTACCTCACAAAATTCAAAGTATCAACAGGAGAATATCAAATGAAGAGAAAATTTGGAGGCACTCCTGGGGTCCACAAGTAGAGAAAATGGAGGAGGAACAGCACTTTGATCTCACACTTTGAAGATAATATGGCCCAGAGGTCACGAGCAGTGTCTGGAGTCTGATCCAATGGCTGGATTTCCAATCCCACCTCTTCCACATGATAGTTCGCTTCTCCTGGTCTTAGTTGACCCTGAAATTGGATAATGATAGGACCCACCATTGGCTTTTGGTGAGAATTAAAAGAGTTAATGCACGTAAAGCCCTTAGAACATGGCCATGGTTAAGCTCATTCAGAGCATGGGTCACCACGCTTGGTAATAGCATCTGGTGATTGCTCATGCTGGGCCATATGTCTGTAATAGAACTTTCCCCATCACTGATGTTAGCCACAAAGTAGTTGTGCGGAATCTGAGATTGACACCCTGATTTACCATTCTGACCTCATCCAATGTACCCATTCTAAAGGGATTACCCCCCACCACCACCCCTCCACCAGTTGTCAGCCACCTAAAGGTGAATTGAAAGGCTAAACTGAGTGGTCGTGCTGGTTTCTCCCATCTCAGGCCTGGGTATGAGTGTTTACCACCTAAACCCTGGCTGTGCAGAACCAAAACAAGCACATGCAAGTGCAAACCTTCTGCCAAGGACCTCACAGGCCACTCTTTATAAACATAATTGATAGAGGTGTAAATACTTTGTTGCAATTGACTTCTACCTCTATAAGCCCTCTTCTGGAGTTCACTTCCTGGCAAACACAGCAGACACAGCAAAGCATTTGGAAGTGCTCCAGAGCTGCATCAGCCAAATAAGTGTTGTCCCCAGAGGCCAGGGCCCATGCAAATGGCTCTGTTTAGGCCGCCCCTCCATTTCATTGGTATCCCAGTAACAAAGAATTCCATCCGGCCCCCCCCCAAGATCACTATTATTTATTTTACCCTGGATACCAGAAACAGAATCTCAACAACAAATAATCCAGTATTACAAATGTCTGGTGTCCTGCGTAAGAAACATCAAGAAACCCCATCTCTGTTTTAAAGGGAATTTAAAGAGACAAAACCAGATTATGGTGAGTTTGCAGAGTATTTGAGAAGGAAGCATGGGGGGTAGTGGCTGGGATCTTGCCATAATCAGCAATAAGCCTAATCCTGTTCTCTTCTCCAATTTAGGAGAGTAATAAGCACAATAAGAACTTTCTGGAAACTTCTGTCTTTAGACCTTAAAGGGAGTGCAGACAACATCAGTTTTCCCGGGTTATTTATCATAATCAGGCAAGCTCTATAATTCCTTTCAGGCCATTCCCCGAGGGACCTGTCTTGAGCTGTCCCCAGACACTGCTGGACTGTCCCTGTTTCCTCTCGTTGCAGTTACCCAACTGCCCATTTGTGAGGGATTTGCCCACAAGCTTGTTCATCTGCCCAAAAAAACACACTTGTTTTCTCCCTCTTGGAGTGTAAGATGAATGTCAAAATCCCATTTTTTATCAAAACGAGGGGTTCACTATAAATACACCCAGAGCTCCTCCACCTCAGGGTTAGGAGCGGGCTGGGCGGGTGGCCCGGCTGATCCATAGTGCCTTGTAGATGTCGGGGCTGTGGGAAGCCCAGGAAGGTCTGGAAGGTTTCGCCATCTCCGCTCACTGTGCAGTGCCTGGCCTGCTGCAGCGTTGAGAATGTTTTTGATTTGAGGCAGGGAGGAAACTCAAAAGCCAGACATCACGACAGACGTGGGTCTGGTTCTGAGACAGACGGGCTGCGCCTGGCCCCCTCCCTGCCTGGACGTCTTTATTGCTGAGCTGGGGCTGGAGGCCGCCAGCAGCCGGCTGATGGCAACAGCAGATGTGGCCGCGGTAGCAAGGGGGGCCTGGGGCCAGTGAGGAGCCACGAGTCCATGGTAGCAAAAGGAAGGTGGAGGACAGCAGGACAGGGAACACCGGCCAGGGCGGGGCGGGCGGGGCCCACAGAGGAAGGAGAGAACTCCCGGCGGGGCTCTACTG